GCAAGATAATAAATGCTTATCTCCGGTACATCAGACCGGTTCATCCAATTTAAATCATGTGTGCAATGCTTTTCGTACTACTAAATTACAACTCGTGATTATCACCTACTAATCTATATCATAACATCGGTATATAGCCCAACTAAAGTTCCATCTCGGATTGTAATTCATACAAATGTCAGTCAGGCTTTCTTTCACAAAGGTTTAAGATGTTTTATATCGTTTATGTTTAGAGAACGTAGTTTTTTTGAAAGCGACGGAAGTTTTTTAATACAGTAATATCTTTGAAAATGTACAGTACATGTACCCGACTTATATAAGACATACCAACACCTTAGTGTTTTGCAATTTTTCGAAATGAGTGGCCTTTTAAATTTTTTTCAATAAATTGCAGCGTATGTGTTTTGAAAGTATCATTTTTTTTGAATTTAACAAGAAATGTGCTTAATCTTACTGTATATTAGTCACCTGATTTTAGATTACGTATATTATATTAATTTTTATTGAGTTTATTATGCCGAAATAATAACAACCGGATCGGCCAAAAAATCATTCGACTAATTTTTATTAGGTGTCCCAGAAATTATGTTTTGTGACCGAAGGCCGGACTGATGCATCCCTACACATAATTTTGCAAGCCGCAATAAAATTAATCAACACAAATAAGAAATTCATAATAAATAATTATTACACTTATAAGTTACTGTTTATTGACCAAATTAGCACAGATAAAATATCAATAAGATGTGTATACTATGAATTATCGTCATGCTTGTCAGTTAAATTAAATTAAATGATACATAATAAGAGGTGATCCAATGATTAAATCAACATAAATATAATAAACGTATCGATATGCATGAAAGTACTGCCGATTATTAATTTCTGAAGTAGCAGTAATTTATAATCATATCGTAATATAACTTACGAATCAGTGAAAATTTTTATTTAAATTATGCTTACAAACTAATTTAATATATGAATAAATGGCTGATTTCAATTGCGCTTACTACTATAATCATTATAAACTAAATAAATAAAGAAATCAATGAGAAGTGGAAAACTCTATTCATTATTTATAATTAAGGTTTCTTTCCGATTACTATGTCTTCATATTGATATTCTCTCGATATATTGTAAATTGCAATAAATATAATATCGCACATCGAACTATGCCAGTAATTAATGCGCATGAATGCATACTATAAAATGGTGTTCGATTAGAAAATCAATGTAATGAATTTAACCCTTTATTGGATTTTTTTCAAAACGAAAACGTGGGATTTTCATGGATTTCGAAGACTACTTCTTTCCTATAAAAAGGACATCCATGTTATCAATAATCATACCAAGGAAAAAACATTTGAATTAAAAAAAAACACCCCCGAAAAAATTCCTATTTCGCTAAGAAATCATGAAGAATTTTATTTTTGTGTTCAGTTTACTTGCTATTTTTCTTACAGTAAATGCTGTTCCATTTAAATTTAATAAAAGAGCTACCACCTTCAACCCTTGCCGTCCACGTAATGGTACTTATGCTGACCCACTTACTGTGGCAATACAGCCTGACCCTGTTGTTAGTAACGGAACCGCTCAATTTAATGTATCCGGAACATTAACAAAATATAATATCACCGCAGGCAAAACTATGCTTGGAATTGGTTTTGGAGACTCAGCAAAGCAGCCAATAGGTCATCCTTACAATCTAACATTCGATAAATCACATGTTGTTGGATGCCCATTTTCAATACTTGCATCAAATGTTTCTGTTCCTACTTTACCTAATTCATATATAATTGCAGTTATTGTTGGAGAACCAACCGGTGATCCAAAAAATCCATATTCTGTTTATGGCTGTGCGCTTGCTAATGTTAGTTCTGCAGTTAATTCTTTCGATAATTTTTCAAATAAAAAACTATCATGATTGTAATATATTGATCTTAATAATAGAGGCCTATAACAAAAGCATAGAACTGTTTATACAATAATTCTATTTACTTTAGTAGCTATAAAGTTTAACAAATATATATTAAAAAAGAATTATCAAATTTATAATTATATTAGTCATTTTTTGCTATTTATAATTTTTATTTGATATAACTAGGAAAACGTGAAACATTAAAGTCCGGAGCATATACCTAACTAGGTCATAAACCCGCAGCCTTGCTGCGGCATCCTCTTAGACTATATCTTAGTGTTACGTTTAATCTTAGATCTACGTTTAATTTCTCAGTTTCTTTATTTTTTTTTCTTTTACCAGGAACGGAGCGTATGGTTCAATTCGAGTTTTGCGTTCGTACGCAAAATCTCGATTTTGATCGGATGCCCTAATTTTGTATGCTTATACTAAAAAGTACGATGATCTGTATTCTTCATTTTATAAGGTGCTTGCGTATGTACGCGTTCACATATAATGACTTGATTCGAAAATCAATTTATTTTACACTCAAATAACATTTCGTTTTAGATGAATAGAGTAGTACTAGGAACGTAGTGCAGCGGGGTGTATATCAGGGACGAATCAATGCTGTTTGAAGCGATTTTTGTCCGAAAAATCTAAAGTTTAATTGGTCCGCATGACTTATTCTAGTGTTCAATTATAAGCCGGCTTATATTTAACACTAACTTATTCGTCAAATTTTGTTTATACCAGGAACGTATACCAGGAATACAAGGTAGTGATGGTTAAATTCATTTTTAGCGTTCGTCCACAAAATCTTAATGCTGATTGGATGTGGCAACCTGGTGATTTTATGATCTACGTTCATAACTTATGTAAATTATACGTGGCTTGGGCTAGCCTGATCAGTGACTTTTTGGTCATATTGCGTGTTATGCGACATTTTATACCAGTACGATCACATGAAATGAGAGATCCGTTCAACTTTTTGATTGTTTACATTATCATTGTATATTCGTAATAGACCTATGAATTAATATCACAATATATTTGTAATCGAACTACGAATTAATAATCAATACATTAAAATATAGGCACTACTGGAATTACATATTAACTATGACATTTACAGTCCCATGCATCAAAAAAATCGCCACCCGGGTAGACTTATGGGCTACCCGGGTGGGCAACTAACGGGTGAACCCGGGTAGAACGCTTTTAATTTGATTGGATGACCGACTAAATCTTTTATAATATGTACTCTGAAGTTTCCGTTTTTCTTTATTTAGCATTCGATACATGTTTTTTAAATTATTTTCAAAATTAATTTGTTTATTTTTCGGCAAAATGAACATTTTTTTTTAAATTCAATTGGACAGAATAATCGCTTCCGCTAGTTAAATTTTTACGAAATATGGTAAGAAAAGAAATTTTTAAACAATCATTGTAATAAACACAATATTATAAACAGATATCGTCATAAGTGACTAATATTCGATTACATTAATTTTCGGAAGATGGTTTTAAACAGCGATTACGTAACTGATTTTGGTGGTCATGCTAGGTTCGTGATTTTATATCATCAGCTTAGTTAGCCGATGTTTAGAAACCGACTACTAACACTATATGGTCGGCAACGCATAACTAATTATCGCATAATTTGCTCTAAGTACTGTTCTGAAAGACTTTGTTAATCAATGCAAATTATGATCAAGGTTGATATAAAAAATTGAACGTAAGTTCCAGACTACACCGAAAGATGGCTTTCATACTAAGCTACTTATTAAATTGAACATTTTTGGGCGCACAATTAAGAAGATGTATGCATGTAAAAGTGTATAATTTACTTTGTTGAATGCAATAATTGATGGTTAATTGCAGAATAAAACCATCATCCCTGAGCTAGACACTCTTCATACATTGTTCGTGCCAAATATTCTAATTTCTTCAAGATATCTTTACAAGACATACGTATTATCATAATTATAAACTGGAATTCCTGGGATAAAGTTGGTTGGTCATCAAAAAATTTTCAATATTTTTGGAAAGCGCACAGGAGATAAAAAAAAACCCCAATAAATGATTTGAATCTTCCCAATGCTTGATGATCGTGATACTTATATCCAAGTTATAGTATGTGTATTGAATCTGATCTGGACAACCTACATTACAACATATGAACATGTCTCCCATATAATATACATGCAATGTAATAGGTATAAGTTACAATTTACAGTTCTATTTGTAACTGATATAAACTGACAGACAAAATTTTAATAGCAAAAAAAAAGCTCATCCCACATAATTTATTTGATAAATTTCCTTTTGCAAATGATTATATCAAAAATAATCAATTAATAAAAATCCAAAAATAACATTATACTGAAAGTCATATGATTATCTTTAAAATATTTCACATAATAAGTGCGTCGTCCCAATTCAATATCATCAACGTCATCGCTTTTAGAATCATTTTTCTTTTCGAGCTCTTCCTTTTCGAGTCTCTTCAAATAATTAAATGATAATTTATCAAATGATACATGATTATTTCTTGATAGATGACTTCTCTCTTTATCAAACCAAAAATATATTGGTTCATAGCGATTATCAAAATCATATTTTTCTATCATGTTTGCCTCAGAAACGGATAAACCACGTGATAAAAATATAATAATGAAATTTTTAAATATCTTAGGAGAATAATAAGAAATTTGTTCAAAAATATTAACATCATAACTCGCATAAAGATCTTTTAAAATAATAACAGGAGTAGTAATAACAATAATATTGAGAAATTGAGAAAAAAAGATTGAAATAATTAATAAAGATAAATAAAGTGGATGATTGGTTAAATTTTCAAAGTTGACAATATTAAGATTCACTATACCATATACCAGTGATGGTAAATGACCTGAAATGACCCAAATGACTCAAATGACAAATGACCGGTCATTGGGTCATTTCGAGATT